CACCTCTCAGTTTCAAAGATAAACAGGGTCAATTTTACTTACCTGGTTCTGTCCTCCAGTCTACTGCAACTTTGGATCAATTATTGATTTGAGCCACTCTTTCTTCCAGCCTCATCTACTTTAGAGAGTTCTTAGAAATACACCACCTACTTGGAAGAAAAGTGAGATAGAAATAAAATATGTAGATAGACTGATAAAGCATCTAAAATATAGTAAGTATTTAAACAATTGAAAACAACAAAATGTATCATGTTTGAATGCTTAAACAAATAATTAAATCCCTTGTGATTCAGATATTTTTTGTCCAAACAGTCTATGTTATGGTTGTTGTGGGTTTTTCGGCTCTTTGGCAGTGTTCTGAAGGTTGTTCGTCCTGACATTTTGCCAGTCCTCTGAAGATGCCGGCCACAGAGAAAGCCTTCGAGAATACAGTCTATGTTATATTACAGAATTATACATGCCCTGGTCAAAACAGTCAGGTGGTAACTTTCTGAGTTATTGCCTGCATTTTTATAATTCCTGAGTGTGAACTCCCACTGAACTCAGTGGGTCTCACTTTTGAACAATGTATTACAGTTGCAATCATATTTACACTTAACCTAGGAGTAAATGTTACTCAACTTGGTGGGGGAATTAAACATAGCCTGAAAAACTCCACACATTCTGTACCTAGATCACACTCAGGTATCAGGCCTATGCAGTCTGTGGGAGGCTCTATTCTCATATAACTATGCAATACTGCAATTAAGAGTGAGCTCAGCAGGGCTAAAATCTGAGAAACCACCGATGTGACAGAGCTGCAAGATTACTTTGCAAGTATACAGAGTTGCCTGACAGCAAGCCACGCGCTGATCATGGCCAGAATTCTCCTGCATCTACCATACCTATGCTTGCATGATTGTGGGATACCGCACCTGTTATAAAGGAATAGGAGAAGCCAGGGTATTTACTTCCGCCCTTAGTAGCTAACCTATTTCCTGTTTCTGGCGGCCGAGAGGACTGGTTTCCAAGACAACGAGGAAACGCGTGCCTCGTGGCTGTCTCTTTACCGAGTTCATCCTTCTGCTTGCCTCCCTCGCTGCGCTGCCGATCTCCTGCTTGGGTGAGTAAGGCTGTCCCCGTTGCCGTCGAGCGAGGTCACGTCAGGAGACCGTGGTTCGCAGCCTTGCACGAATATCGTGCTCTGATTACGTGTGTGTTTGTGTGTGTGTGTCGTGCGCGAACTGGGAACACGGGAATAACAGAAAAAGATCTATCTGGCTGTGTAGTAGTAGTGGGTATCAGGGCCCTTCACATGTTGTTGCCCCGAAACTCCTAGCATCTCTCATCTTTGGCTTTGCTGGCAGGGGTTGATGGGAGTTGTAGTTTTTCAAGGTATGTACAGCCTCGGTTTCCGTACAGCAGGCTTCTTCGCCCCAGTTTTGCCGTGTTAGTTTGTGCAAGCGTTTCAGCAAGAAACACAAAACAAAATAAAAGCACAACAAGGCTTTGTGGCACTTTAAAGGCTAATTGCTATATTCTTAGCAAGCAAAAGTTTGCTTGAGGAAGCAGTCTCTTTCCCCCCAAATTCCTGCCAGTTGTTGTTACTCAAAAATACCAGGCACAGTCAGTCAAAATTATAAAAACATTGAGTGGTATTACATAACAGATACAAGTTTTAACCAAAAACCTAAGTATCTGTTAAATATTGACGTAGGATACATGCTGTTCCTAAAACTGTGTGTATGTGTGTGTGTTTTTTGTTGTTTAAGCTCTGATGATGATGTTTCTGGAATCTGAAATTGCTTATAATTCTGTATTAGATTTATTCTTAATACTAATAATATTAATTTTCTTGTTACAAACCAGATCTGAGAGCGAGCATTGACTTTTCTATTTTAATGCTGTGGGGGAAAAAGAATTTCAGTAGGGGCAGCCTTTTCCTTTACCAGCAAACTGCACAATATTTATGTGTATGTAATATTTTTATTACAG